GGCCTGTTAACCCCGCCCACTCGGGCGCGCCGTGCGGGCTTATCACATAAGGGGGTTTCTTAGCCCCCTATCTGATAGCAATAAAGTTAAGTGAAAAAAATGTAAAGTTTCAACCCAAAAAATTTAAATTTACACATAAAAAAGAATTCCATTTTTTTTTTTAAAGTTCCCACCCTGCGAAAACGACGATTGCGCCCATTACGCCGCACATGTTACATATCGAACGTCGCAGTGAGAGCAATCATTCTAGGGTCATCAATCACTGATAATACTAAACTGATGAGCTGTAAAAGCGTCGCCTATGGTTAATTTTGAATATGGTAGTTTTTTGCGATTTCGCGGGTTTTAAGCATGACATGTTTGGTGTCTATTTACCCGACGTGACCCCGTCTTTTATATTTTACCAAAATAATTGGGTAATAATAATTGTTTCCTAACAATGTAAAAAAAACTATTTCAGGAATTTTCCCGAAATATAGTGATTAAATACCACCAAAAGAAAGGTCTATCTGTCCCCAAAAAATGGTATAAAAGGGGATCTAAACATCTGGTCAGCAAGTGGTTAAATTCTAGCTAAACTGAAAAATCCCTTTTGTGTAGGGTGACTTTTTATTTGGGTATTCAGTAAGCTTTGCACTAAGATATGTGCCTAAGAAAAAAGTCAAAATGCGGATGAAATTACAAAACTGCTCACATACAGTTACATACATACAGATACCTAACTTCTTCATGACTTCTACCACCAGTTTACCAAAAATTTGTAAATATAGTAGAAACACCACCACAATTTTTTCTTCTAAATTTTGAATACTGTACTATCTGTTTAATATACAATCAAAGTCAGCCATGCACTATTATATCTCCCCTAGTAATTAGGATCTTAGATTGGCTTGAAAAATAACCAGGTGCTTAATACTGAGGCTTTTCTTTGTGGCATGAAAATTGAACACTTCACACAGACTGTTTGCTTTAGTTGTAAACATATGGATCGTCCTCTGAAATGACTCATTAATTTCACTGCTGAAATGCGGTTGATGCATCTTCCAGTCAAATGCTAAGATCAGCTCATTTGCCATTGCAATAATGGCGACTCATAATAGAAAACATGAGACTACTTGCACATTACAGTATACAGATGTTAACAGAACTTTTGAAAACAAAGGATTACTAAGGACTTCATAAGGCCACATGCTTATAGCAAATTCAAATGTGTCCATGGGCACTAACCGCAGGTATTCGCTCCATCTACAATTACATGCTGACCGCCACAGACAGATGCAGCTGATGTCAGTCTGTCATTTACTTGAACGGGCATAGAGGCTGCAGCTGTACTGATCCACCTGTTATTCCTCCCGCAAGAATTCACAGGTTCTTGCTACAGGAGTCCGCTCCTGCAGCTATTAGCACTGTTTACATGTGGCATAAATATTTTCATTTCCTTACATTGGGCACATTAATTTACATCGCATGAGACACCACTAATGATCAGGTGGTCTTTATACTTGGCAATCAGTCTTAAGTATGACAGGCGAAGCAAAAAATAAAATAAAATCAGTATAAAAAAAAACTATAAAAGCAATGTATTTTTTTAATAATTTCTATTACTTTTAGATGTGCAAATATGAAATATATACTTATGCATACTTCATATTTACCACGCCATTATCAGGGGTGTGGAAATGTAAAAACATAAAACTACTTGTCCAAAGCGGAGCCCAATCTACTTGTCCCTCATGACAATCTACTTGTCATGAAACAAAAAATGGTTTTAACCAAAATCGAATTTAACCGTACGAAGCGCTTCTCGAGTGCTTGCAATTTGTGAGCAAAAATTAAAAATCCATAGCGCATGGCTGTGCTGGTCGGCAGTATGGGGTACAGATAGTACACCCGTACTGTTGGAGGGGAAGGACCATTCACCGAAAGGCAAGTTTAGCAGTGGGGGGGAGAGAGGGGGCCAGATTTGAGCGAGTAATTCCATTTTCCCAAAATACTTGAGAGAGTAAACTCAGGCTGGGCACACACCTTACAACCATCGCAAGACTTTTGTCTTGTGATGGTTGTAAGGTACTTAAAAAAACGTACGATCTGCCCATCTTGCATAGGCAGATCGTACTTGCGATGATCGCAAGCCACGCCCCCTGAGGGGCGGGCTTCCGATGACCGCAATGCCGAACGGGAAGTGTGCGCTTGCGCACACCGGCCTGTACAGCTTTTATCTTACGGACATGCCGTAAGATGTCCGTAAGTTAAAAGTCGTGCGACCTTACAGTAGTAGAGGTCGCACGGCTTGCACACACCTTACGATAATCGTACAATCGCGGGATTTCCCGCCCTTATCGTACGATTATCGTAAGGTGTGCGAGGACCTTTACCCTGCGTGTTAGAGAGTGCTGCTTCCCGGCTACCACAATATGGAACACAGGGGAATGGGGGCAGCACTGACACACACAATGCCCTATGCATGCGTTTATTTGCATTCAGATGGCAGGGCTGCAGGGTTGATTTTAAATGTTTCTTTCATTTTTATTTTATAATTTTTTTACGACTTTTTTTCACATTTTTATTTATTTTATCTTTTATACTTTATTACTTTTTTCATTTATTTTATTATTTTTTATACATTTTTAATTTTTTTTAATTCTTGTTTAATTTATACTTTATGTTTTTTTTCCACTTAACTTTATTGTTATCACACAGGGGATAAAAAACCCCTATGTGAAAGCATTTAGAGGTGACAGTCTCTCTTTATGGAGCCTGCCCTCCAATACAGAGGATCCAACACAGCCCTCCTGTCTCACTGATCACACAGGGCAGATCCACGATCTCCATCCTGAAGCCATTTGCCATGGTCCCGTGTTCACCAGAAGAGTGGGGAACCCCAAAAGCCACATCGGGGGGGGCACGGGCCATGATACCATATAAAAAGAAAAAATGTAAGAAAACACAAACAATTTTTTAGTCCCCCCGCCCCCACATACACACACATGCAACCACAAACATGCATCGGGTGCGACTACGTCCGAAAATGATAATTGCTATGTATTTGAATGACCACCACAGTCACTTTAGACATTATGATGTGGATCAAAAGTAGGCTCAAACAAATTTAAAGATGGTACAAGAAATAGCAGCTAGAAATTGAAGGTGTTTGATCTCACATTTTATGGAACACTAAACTTATTCTAAAAACATAACTTATATAATTGCTATGCAACTATTGGTTTCCAGTAGCGATGCACTGGTGCCGATACTGGGCATTTTCAAGAGTACTCGTACAAAAACCCTAATACTAATTGCGGATATCGGCGCTTTACATTTTTAAATAGCTTTGGCTGCCGCAAGGTCCCGCTCTTGCTGGGGACCTCACAGCAGCCTTCTGAGGACCTCACAGCACTTCCGCCTCACGTATCCGCCCGCCTGCAGAGAAAGCGCCCACAGCCCTTCTGACTGCCGCAGCCATTCTGACGCACGCACCCGCCTCCCATACCCTCCGGACCCCTCCTTGAGAGCACTGACACTGCGTATGTGGGGCTTACCATGCAGTAAGATGCAGGGGAGGTAGGGTTTCAGTTAAACTAGTCTGATTTCCATATTTGTCCCTTTGTGTCCTCTCCCACCCCGGTCCCGATGGGGACACTGGTGACAGGGGCACCATCCAGTGTGCTGCAGTGTGCAGCTGCTGCCAGCACAAGCTGTCATTATTATTGTTTACTTCTGTTACTGCATTGTAAGCCGGAGCCAGGCAAAGTCTGATACTAACAGTCCTGGAAGACCACTGCTGGGACTGTAGTCCCACAGCTTTTTAGGGGTCAGGTGCTGTGAAACCCTCCCCACCCCTCCCGAGATCCTCCGCACCGATCCCGAGACCCTCCGCACCCTCCCTGAGACCCGCCGCACCCCTTTTAAGACCCTCTGCACCCCTTTTAAGACCTCCGCCCGAGACATCAGGCAAGCAAGCACCCCAGAGCAGAAGTACAGTGTGTTTTATAATGTGTTGCTGGGATTTGGAGTCCTCTACAGCTTGGCGTGAGTGGCAGAACTACCAGGGGTGCAGTGTTTGCAGGTGCGACCGGGCACTGGCGCTCCACCACTGTCCTAAAACCATTAGTCTGTATTGTTTTTAAAAAACTGTCACGACACTAAAAAAAGTATCGGCAATTGGTATCGGTGAGAACTTAAAAATATCGGTAGTCATACTCGGTCTGGAAAAAAATGGTATTGGTGCATCCCTACTTTCTAGCAGAATGACAGCATTCTATAAATCATGAATTTAAGAAAATCTCTAATGATACTAAAGCTACAGCACCAGAGTGCAGGCATAACTAGGTGCATTTAGAGCCCCATCAAACCTCCAGGGTGCCAAGAATTCCAGAGTTTGCCAACATACCATTTTGATGCATCTATGTATGAGAGTTCGCCTTCCTCCTTCTACAAGTTTCTACTGTCCATCACTAAAGTAGGGTATACATGGTTAGAATTTAGAATGGACTAAATTGATTTGGGAATGTTCGTTCGGCTTTCTAGTACTTGATGGGGACAAATCGATTATCAATTTCGACCACAGTGATGACAAATTAAAAGAAGCATGTTGAAAATTAGAAAGAAAATTAAACGAAATTCCGAACGACAATCGGCAAATCTCTGATGGCATTATCAAATGCTCCGATGGGCTTTTTTGAAAATCTACCTGTGTAAACCTACTTAAGATAGAACGTTTACCTGGCCAACAAAAACATGCAGTAGGAAGCAGACAAGTTCTCAAGGCATAGAAAGTGATGAAACGTGCAAGATTTGGAAAAACAGGGATACTGGAAAGGGAATGTGTTTGTGTGGTAGTCAGTTCAGTAACCTTTGTTCCAAACTAAAAAATCCTGCATGCATTTATTTTTGTACACCACAATCCACCTGTCACACATCATTTGACGACATCTCTGACCCAGTTCAAATAATATCTGACAAAATATACTACATGGTTAACAGCGAACTGAAGTTATTACCTTTTCCACTATAATCAGGTCTCCAACTTGGATATCTGAACTTTTTACTTGCACTTTACCTACAAGAAATAACACAACATCTGAAAACCAAGCCATGAATATGCATATGTATCTGGAAGACAAAGACAGAAACACAATTCACATATTTATATAGCATATTTTATCATGTTAATTGCTCCCTTTGGTTATGTGGCATTCTGTTTATATAAAACATCACACTGGCTCAAGTTTTGTCTTACAAAGTTTACAAATTCACATTAAGTTGAAAAGACGCCAAATAGTATATGAAACACTTAAACAGTAAGCATTTCAAAAGCCAGTCAATAAAGGTTATTTTATTATTAAAATCCTTACATGTGTTTCAACAATTAAATAAGTTTTCTTTCATAAAGACTTGATTTGTAGGAATTCCCCTATAGCTAGCAGATAAATGGCAAAGGTTTGCTAAAGTATTAAACTCTTTTGCAACTTAAAAAGAGATTGTTACTTTATACCAATAATTACAAATGTTCTCTAACTAACAAAACCTTCAGAATAAAGAGCCCCATACCCCAAACATTTGTAAGCACATGTGCACCTTGGTTTGAACTCTGCCCGCTTGGATATCAAATAGGTGGGATGAAAGAATATTAATTCAAATTAGTTAAAAGAGAATTATGGGGTAGGTGTCTTTCCCCATAGTTCTCTTTAGGGTCACGGGAAGAGGTCTTCCCATGACCCAAAGCTCAGTATATAGGGAGCTATTGCCCGCTATATACTGAGAGCGCCGCAGCTGGGACGGATCCCGACAATAATGTCGTGATCCACCGAGCTGCGTGGGAGACAGCTGGCTCTGCCTATGTAGAGTCAGAGCCAGCTGTGCCCGCCCCATCCCCCGTTCGTTCCTCCACTCAGCGCTGGAGGATCGGAGAGGGGAAGGGGAATCCCTGCGGGGAGCAGAGCAGTGACTGACAGTCATACCAGATCCTGAAATACTTCAGGATCAGTGTCACTAAGGCTATTATTGGCTGTTCTTAAGTTTGAAGCAGCCTAATAATAACCAAAAATTAATTAATTTATCAAGCAGTAATAGTGAGATTAATGCCCAATGACTGTATGATATAATTAAATTTAAAAAAATAAAAATGTAAAAAATGTTTTTTTAAAAATAGTAAAAAGTGTAAAAAAATAACAAAATGTAAACAAATAAAAAATAAATGTAACAAATAAAATTATATATTTAAATATATTTTTATACATAGTATTACATAGTAATTTTTAACCACCTCAAGACAGTGATGTTCAAAGTATATCGCTGTCACTGAGTGTGACACTTAGTGACAGTGACATTGTATGCCAGGTGACAATTAAAAGTAAAACAGTTACTTATAGCAGGTCATCATCAGAATGCTGTTGAAGCATGAGGATGACTGAGCATGTGCCACAAGAGGTGGTCCCACACTAGTGTTGATTGTGACTGGGCTCCCATGCAACAGGAGGATTTGTCTTTCTTATATTTAAAAAGTTGCTTGGTATTTCTGAATATATCAAAGTGCTAATAAAAATAAAAGGAAATCTGTTCAAATCACCAGTGAACAATTATATTTTAGGATTTGAAAAAAATAAATTACCCACACTCAGAAAGAATGATAACTTACTGGACAATTTTGAAGGGGAAAGAAAAAATAAAAACATGTTTCTTTATTCTAATGATATGAACCAGGTACATCTGGACTGACTTAAAGGAATACTAAGTGCCAACAGATTTTTCAGCACGTATGCCTGCCACCGTATGTTTTATAAATATATCCCAATGATTATTGAAGGGTTCATTCATTTTCTTTGTTAAACATATTAGAAATTCAGAAAGGAAGCTTTACTAGAATAGGAGTAAATATGCAATTAATGCAGAGTTGCTTTAACTGGATGAAAGCAGTGCTGCAAAAAAAAACCAATACATATAGTTGTCAGTGCAAAGATTTTAGTGAACTATATTTTTTTTCTTTGAAAACATCTCAAAAGAAATGCATTCTTCACCAGCTGTGTAATTACCAATAAAAAAGTTCAAAGCTGTCAGTGGTAGCTGCACATCCAGACTTTATGGTCCACCAAGACGTAGACCTCTAGCCTACAGCAATATGCAGAATTCAAGCACTGAAATAAGCGTCAATAGTAATTCATTACAGTCACTGGAAAAAAAGCATTGCAGTTTTCATTGCAGTTGAAAAACTAATAAATATTTCTTATGTGCAAGAGAACATTACACCGAAACTCTTAATATTGAAAAACAAGTCTTGAGATATATATGTTACTCAATACAAGGCAAACAAATTTGATATCAAAAGGTGAGTAAATGGAATCCCATGAAGTGAAATAAATTGACATCCCAAAATTATTAACTTGGGGTTCTGTGATGTAATTCAAAGAAATAAACATGACTAGTATAATGACAACCACCAAAACTTAATAGTGAATATGGATTTCCAGTATATTCACTTCCAGTTACTCCTGTTATAAAAGACAAAGAGAAAACTGATAATATGTCATTCATAAACTATAATTAATGGTATGTTACTGATGTGTCAAAGCCTGTGAATGAGTAAGCTACACAGACTTTAAAGACTTTTCACAGAGCTAAGGTAAGATTAAAGTCATATTAAAGTAAGAAAGTTTTTAAGCTATTTCAAATGCTGATTAAATCATTTACAATGGATGCTGCTTCTTGATGATGAAGGTTTTAGCTTCCTACAGAATCAGATGGTCCCCTTTACCTTGCAGGGTCCTATGGAGTCACTCTTGTGTGTGATAATATGCTGTGCATAGCTTTAGCAAACACACAGGCTCAGCAAGGGCAATCCCATCCCCTTTCCCTTGTTCCCCACTCCTTGTTCTTCCCTTGATTCTTCTCTAAGCTAGTAGATGGATATCTGTAGGAGACTGCTCTGTCTTTTGTGATCTAGTACTGGACAGGAAGTTAAGGGAAGCAGAGCTGAGAGACTTGGATCCAGCTGTTTGGAAACATGATGACTGTATGCAAAGACATACTTTGCTGAGTAATGTATATTTGTTGATATGGATTCAATATTGAAAAAAAAATAGAGAGTTTTATATTACTCTAACACCTCTTTGTTGTGTGCCTTGTTTGACTACACAACGTATGGGGGGTCTACTTAGGAGATACCAGCCCACGTCTAACATAGGCTATAAATCAGAGCAACCCTCTAGTCTTCAGACAAGTCAGACACTAATACAAAATAAATATACAAAGTGTTAAAAGTATGAAGAATAAATGTGTAAAACTCAGCAAATAACTCATATACGTGATATTAAAAATAACAATTATGTTCAAAGATAGGTAATATACACTCGCTAAGCCATCTATTAAATATATAGATAATTATATACATCTAAAAAAGGACTGAAGTGCAAAGTGTAATTGTGAATCATAAGTAAGTTTTAACTGATAGCAACCAGATTTTTAACAACTTTGAAGTGCAAAAAAGTGCAAAATACAAATCAGTGCAATCCTCCAGAAACAATGTGAGCTTTCAATCAGTAGTGCAATCCAAACAATTCTGACCTATGAACAATGATAACAATAGCAACCAGTTTGTTATCCACATCACATAAAGTGCAAACAGCAAGCAGACCATTACACACCCCTGGCTGCAGTAGACCTCCAAGTTTATTTTCTAACCAGTGATAAATAAACAATTTTCCTGTTTTCATTTCGCTTACACAAACTCTCTGGATATATATTCATATTTCTGTTGATTCCTCAACCCTAACGTTCTCTTTGCCTGGTGAAGATTCACGAAGAGCTCTAGTAAATTAACTGCACAATACCAATAAAGCTGTCAGAACACTGCAGAAGTCCTGCACCTGGGTTTACTATTTTGTGGTCATCACTTGGAAAATGAGTGAGAATTTGTAACTTTTATTGTTCATTAATTTACAGAGACACTACAGAGGACAACATTGCCCTGTGGCTTGTGAGAATTCCTCATATAGGGGACTTAAAGGGACATTAACGTCACAATTATTTTTCTCCCCCCCCCCCCCCCGCCATGCTGCTTTAAGGACTTACCTTAAATGATGCCTCTTGTGACGATCATCTTCTGCCTTCCACTTGTATTCAGCAATCTCTCCAGCACTGGTGCCGGTCTCTGATCCAACGCAGACTGTTGTCTCTTCCTGTCCCACGGAGTCTCTCCGACGTGCACGCTCACGGCTGCGTGCATTCAGCTCCACTGTATCTCTCCTCTTTTCCCTGCTGAAGATCTCTACTGCACATGCGCCCTCCCCATTCTCCTACTTGGCCACTCAAGAAGCTCTAGATCTTCAGACGGGAGCGAGCGGCTGAGACACAGGTAAGTAATTACCTTTTAGGTAACGCCTTAGTTCTTGCATATTTCAACTGCTCGCTAATTTAATTATGCTTTAAATACAAGTTTGGAAGGTAAAAAAATGGAAGGTAAAAAAAAAAAAAAAAACTAAGACAAGGAACGTTCAATGCAAAACTGTTGGACAGGAAGCTGAAAACTTTATATTTTGACCACGTACTCTGTGAAGGAAGAATTTATGTTATTGTTTCAAAGAATAAATGTAAGAAACCATTTGACTTTTTCATGTGGTCTTACCTGAATTTTCCTGTGCTCATAGCATGCAGAGAAGGTGTGCCTGAACTTTGCTGAGATCCTTGCCTCTTTCCTTTGTCATTAAATGATTTATAAAAATGGCATTTTGTCTTTTTGGTGATTAATATGACAGGACAAATGAATAATCAAAGCCCTGGTACATATAAAGAGTTTAAATATTCTACCTGTAGCATAAAGAAATTGGATCTCTCACTCTTGAACATGCTAAGACTCATAAAAGTTGTCTCTTTTTTGTTTTCAATGTAAGCATAAAATATGCAAATTAAATAAATGCTATTTTGCATTCAGAGTACACAGGTTTACACAACGTTTCCCATTAAGGAAAGATCTGATCACTTCTGAAAATGGTTACTAAATTGACCAATGTTTCATAAGGCAATCACTTCTATATAGTTAGATTAAATTACTTGACAAACAATGTC